ATAAATTTAAAAAGAGATAGATTAGTTTGTGGGACACTTTATCGCTTAGTGCGTTATCGCGTGTCTGCACGCCAGGATTAGGAGGTGCTGCCGTACAACTCTGTGTACAGCGACCGTACAAACAGTGGCCAATCAGTAACCTCCGTTTGTTTAACCCAATCCGCCGTCCTGATCATGATTAAGTTCCCTGTGTGTACACTTTATCCACAGTATGTGTACTGAATAAACGTGCTCCGTTCTACACGTCTGTTTCCTTTACAGAATAAACGTGCTCCGTGCTAAACATCTGTTTCCTTTATATGCAATATACGTACCGAATAAACGCATTTCGTGCTACACGTCAGTTTCCCTTATAGCTGGACTATGGCTTAGCTGGTTCTCTAGCTAGAGGTTGGAGAATCTGCCATAGAGATTTCTGATTCCTAGCTAGATGTTGGAGAATCTGCCATAGAAATTTCTGAGCCGGTAGCTAGATGTTTGAGAATCTGCCATGGAGATTTCTGAGTCGGTCTAGATGTAGGAGAATCTGCCAAAGAGATTTCTGAGTCAGGGTGAATCTGCCATAGAGATTTCTGAGTCAGTCAGGCTTTTACTAGCGTAGCTACCCGCTACAAACTGGTGACCCTGACGTGATATGAACACGCTACAAGTTCATTCCATTTCTTCGATAACTGATTCGGCTTAAATACTTCGCTAAAAATCTGGAGGAAGTTATAATTAATTTCGATGTGACTATTTAGTTTTGATAAACTATGCTTACAATCAAATTCCTTCACTTATAATAAACTTAGAAAGGCCAGGTTGGAGATGTGAAGAAATATTATGGCACTTAACTGCTTTAACCTTTTTGAGTGCTATGCATTTTAAAATGTATTACTTCTCATGTCATGAGGTGTGCGATAGACTTACCTCCTCGTGGTGCACCCTGGGCGACGTATTCTCATACGGCAAAGTCCATTTATCGGCAGTTGACTTCTGACTTCAAACTACCAAGACCCCACTGCATTTCATATTCTACTAATTTCACAGTACTCACCTTTTTTCTACCTTTGTGTCTGTCTGTCTCTTTTACGTCTGTGAATCATTATTCTGTCCCCCCTCTCGGGTTTTTGCCACTTTGGTGTTCCTCTTCCTTTCTGTGAAGCACGAAGTCAACTAAAGAGCTAATGATACCTATCATAACGCCTGCCATTTGAAATAAATAAACTTCTCATGTCATAATTTTAACCCGTTGGCCTTATTTTTTAATGCGCATACTCCATTTCCAAAANAAATGTCGGATCGTAGGTCGGGCAGAGCAAGCAACTCGAATGCGCACGAAGTAGCCCAGATCATAAGCCGACCTCATACGGCAAAAAAGTCTATTGACTGGCAGTTGACTTCACACTTCAAACTACCATCACCCCACTGTATGCCATATTCGACCCCTTCCACAGTACTCATCTTACCTTTTCTAAGCCTTTTGGTCTTTCTGTCTGTCGCTGTTACATATGTGAATCATTATTCTGTCCCCCTCTCGACTTTTTGTCACTTTGATGTTCCTCTTCCTCTCTGTGAAGCCCGAAGTCAGCTAACTGGTTTATGATAACTATCAAAACGCCTTCCATTTGAAATAAATAAATAAATCTTCCCCAGTAGAACTTTAGGATGATGAATATCGATTTTTGTATCGGTGAGTAACCAGACAGAAAGCACAGCACTTGTAAAATTTGTCTAGTTTATAATTATAATTTTCAATGGTATTTATTACACAAATGGCTGTCTTTCTCGAAAGATAATCAATAATTCTTCTAGACAAATTGTAAACAGAACTGTTTTGGCCTTTATCTCTTAAGATTTGGTTGAGCTTAATCTGTAAATGTGATAAGAGATTGAGATCAAATCGGATGAAGATATAGAGATTTAAATTTAGAATCTGTGTCGAAAACCAGCTCTGATAAATGGGAATAAATTGCTTGTCAAGGTGAAACTTTTGGGACATAAAATCATGTATTTTATCTTCGAAGGTTGAGTCCATTTCAAAGCAGTTCCTACATCTTTATATACCTTTGTTCTTGTTATCAATGATACCAAAATTGAAGTCAGTATCTTTCATACATCTGCAGTGTTAGCAAGTTAGGTTCAACCACTTTGACCTTGGGACCACTTGGTATTGTTTGTTTACACCCCCAGAGAGGGAGTTTTTCTCAGACAAATTATTTACCCAACAAAGAAAAATGTCATTTTCACTTCGTTAAAGTTTTAAGAACAATGCAACAAATGACTGATTAAAGCTTATGAGAACGAATAATTCGCTCGTTCCAATACAAACCAACAGTTTTACTTATCGATGTATTACCAACGACCTACCTATAAAAATCTTTTAGGGAATGAAATATACTAGCCAATTTCCAAATAATCCAAAAATTTTGGCACCTAGTAGTGTCAATTTAAATCTCACAAGAGATAGCGAATGCCAAACTGCTATCGTCCACGTCAGATAAACAACTGTGAAAAGCCAGACGCCTTTCGGAATAAATATGTTTAAAACGTTGGCTTAGGAAGTCACGCATAGCACAAATACATTTCGCTGTCAAAGGAAACGCGAACAGGCTTATGTCGCGGAAAATGACCCCTCGATAGCACTTTGCCATGTTGTGGAAAGAATTGGATTTTGCATTTTTATAAGAAACGCTGCTGATAATGGAAAAATGTAAGTATATTACCATAGAAAGAGAGTGGGACCTACCATATTTAACTGGTTAAGTTGGTTTAACTCAAGCATCGAGCTTACATATATTTTTTGGCACTTGGGGTGTGCAATAGACTTATCTTCACGTGGTGTACCCTGGGCAACGTATACTCATACGACAAAAAAAGTCTATTTAGCGGCAGTTGACTTCTCCCTTCTAACTACCATGACCCGACTATGTGTCCTTTTCAGCCCTTTCCAAAGTACTCATCTTACCTTTTCTCTGACTTGGTTTCTGTCTCTCTTACATCTGTGAATCACTCTTCTGTTCACCCTCTCGACTTTTACCAGTTGGTGTTTTATCTTCCTTTCTGTGAAGCCTGGCGCCGGAACTAAAAGGGTAATGATACCTATCATAACGCCTGCCATTTGAAATAAATAAACTTCTCATGTCATAATTTTAACCCGTTGGCCTTATTTTTTAATGCGCATACTCCATTTCCAAAAACTTCAAAATTTACAAAGTGAACTGTCGCCTTCATCTACGAACTGTCATAGCCCTAAACAACTTAATTCCGCGGGAGTCATTAAGCCGAACACGAAGTACTCAAAATGTCCTATTTTGTCAATTGCAGATCATAGTATATATTGTCGGCTTAATATGTAGCATTATGCATTCTAGAATAGTCACTTGTGCCAATTTCGCATAACGAATGACCAGTAGTTTGAATTTCTTCTCCAATTAGTCAATGAGATAACGATATTAGCTGACTTACAGTGGTCCCAAACACTTGTATTTCTTGAGACCGAGTCACGGCAGAACCTTTAAAGATAGTTTTAATAAATGTCGGATTGCAAATATCCAATGAAGTAATACTTAGGGAGGTAGTTTAACCGGGAGGAACAACCACATAACGCGAAATATAGAAACCGGAAGCAAATATTGAAGCCTACACAACCACGAATTCGATAATCATAACACAAACAGTTGTTATAAAAGTACATGGGTTTTTACTCGACTGAAAAGTTATATCACTGTTAAAACTAAGTAAAAAAGTGCTCCGTTATCAGATAACTTCATCAACAATATCCCAATCTTCCGAATCTGAGCTAGAATTAATCTCATTTCTCATACTACAGGAACTAAAAGGGGGCATAGAAGATATTTTTCTGGTTTGTTGAACTCTAATTGCAATTCCATGCTTAAGCGAGTTCGAACCTGTACGAGGATACATTGCCATCTCGTAATCGATTGGAAAAAGCATATCCACACTTGGAAGGATGTAAGGGGAATCGAAGGTCCTAAATAAGAAAAACAAAAGACCCATAATGAAAAACAGTAATAGTATGCAGAGGAGGGCACGGATACAGAAATATACCGTTTAAAATTTATCTCCATGTCTTTTAATTATCCTGTCCAGAGTTCATCGGATTGATTTTAAACGATGTGCATGCAGTGATCGCCAAAATTTCCTTTTCACCAATTAAATCCAACTAGATTGCTTCTGGAAGGCTCCCCCAAATAATGCTCTTAGGTCCACAAGAGATCAACTTAATTTAAAATCAGTGTCAACTGTTACGTTTCAATTTTCCTTAATTAAAGGCGATCTTAGCCTTTCATTTATTTACATTGATCCCTGTTTTCGAAATATGCATAATTCCCTCTACCCCCCCAAGCCAACAAGTACAAATATTCACGAAATTCTCTTCACCCGTTTTCCAACACAAGATTTCCTCAATCTCTGGATCTTCTCGAAATAAAGGCTGCAAGCCACTGCTCGGCCTTAATTCCATTGCGTAATGAGATCATAAGAAGACAGAATAGTGATAGCTCAACAAAACTCCACAATCACCAAGACATACAACTGGGTCTATATATAATACTACGAAAAAACCCAGTGAGCAGAATGGGTGATGGAAAATACCGCTTTTCTACAAGAAATTCATTATGACGTCGTTTCTTTACCCAAATTCAGTGACGGAAAAATATGGCATTATTAAAAAAACTTATTATAAATCAGCAAAATAATGGATTCCTCATATGAGATAATTATGTATCTTTTGAAGATTAGGATATAAAAGATTTTTAGTATACAAGCCCTACAGCTAACAGAAAAATAAAAAAGAAAATTGAAGAAAAACATTGTTAAGATATATGACCAAACAAGAAAATAACAAAATCAGCAAAGTAAAAAAACAAGAAAAATATAGAAACCCCCATAGTTAAAAGAAGGATTCCACTTTAAAATGTGGCACTTCGATTAGCATTAGCTTGCACCATTGGGTAAAAGGTAACCTCTAAAGCACACATCTAAGGGTTATCTCTGAGCTCGAAAGCGATTCGATGAGAGATAGCTAATTGTCGATAAGGAACTGCGAAAGAAAGCCCATCTTAGGATAATTCTGTTTAGCAAGTTTATAAAACCTTCTCATTAAAATTCAATGTGTGAATTGATTTTACTTAAACATTAGCGATGAAAGCCAAATTCATTCAATGATCTTTCATCCGAATACTTATGTCTGTTATTAAAAGGCATTCTCTTATCACTTAAACGACGTGGTCAATATTGTCTTCATTTAACTATCATAATGCACAATATTATAAGTTCCCAACAGATACACTATAAACATAGCAAGAGGAAAGTCGTCATGAGTACTGGTATAACATCTTACTCACGCCAATAGGAATATATGAATAAATTGAGGCGCGTGGCCAAACAAGGTTAAATCAATAAGCCTCATATCTCATTGAACTTGTATGATGCTCTTCTTGTAAAGGATCAACGCAGAAAATAATAAAACAGTGAGTGCTGCCTTATATAAAGGCAACAACTGTAATCTAGCAGAAAGAACATACCAGGACTGAAAGTTGTCATGTTCGAACGCCTTAAGAAGGTAATGCAGAGCAAGAAGTGGTCGATCTCTAGATTCACGGGCAAACTCGACATACTTTGACGACGCAGAGGATACAGCCTGTCGAGAACTAATTTCAGCAAGAATTTGAATGAGCTGGCAGACAACTTGATAGACATGAGTAATATTATCTCTAGTGGGGGCATTCACATCAAAGGTATTCAGATTAAAAATCCGTCTAGTGTCCACAGGAATACAAGCATTTAATATTCGGGTTAGAGCTCGTTGAGCAAGAATCATCAAGTTCAACGCGGCATGGCTGGAAATTGTGGGTTCCGGAACTAAAATGAAATGTAAGGAAGGGAACGTAAACATTTGATAACTCCACTTACTGGTCAGATTTCGAGAATCCACATTAAGCTTCACACCGGCTATAGAATCTAATTCTGCGGAAGGAGTTGGCTAAATTAAATTGAATGATAAAAATCTATAAACACTTACGGAGGCTCTAATAGGCAAATACTTCTCAAAAAGCTCTTGAATATTTTCTCGTCTTAAATTATAAATAGCTTTATTGGTCTTTAAAAGTTTGCACAAAACTGCTTTCGTAGTGGTCTCAAGCCTTATATTACAATCGCGTAGACGGACCTGCTTTTGATTAATATTAGTCTTGTCGATAAGGCATTTCTCGGCATCCATACGCTTTCGTAAAAGTCGTTCTTTTTCTAAAATCGTGATTAAATAGCAGACGAAAAAAATACTTTCTAAAATAGATTGCTCTAGGACCTCGACATTCTTCTTGACGTACCTAATTTCTTCCTCCCAATCCTCAATCTACCAAAATTAAAATAAATATGACTAATTACATCAGCGATATCCATTTTTTTTAGATTTTTATTGCATAAATCGTTAATTCTACGGACAAATAATTAGAAACTAAGTATAACTTACCTCATATTGAGAGACAACAAGTGTTTATTATTATTCTTGAATTCAGTGCAAACGTCTTTGAAGCTAAACAATAGTAATAAATGCTACACTACCTTCCAATTTCCTTTTTACCACTGGAGAGATAAAAGTTACCCTGTCTCACACAGAACACACACAGAAGATTCATGCACGGCGACACACAAACCGAACATTGTGGTGGAATATAAAATGTTGGCCCACTAAAGTTATTACTATTAGAATTGCGTTCAATTTCCGAAGTTAGAGCGAGATATTGGAAATCCTCCATCAAAATTACAAGATTTTATCAACTATGAGAACAAACCAACCGAAAAGGCATTTTAGATAATAACCGCTACATATACAATGCAATAAGCGAATGGGTCATTAATCTAGATAAAATGGAAAATTTAATCCCCAACAGAGTTTAATCATTATTTTTCGCGACAAAACTTTTATTATATTATATAAACGATTTTATTGATAAATCTCATAAATGCATTAATGATTTGTCTGTTAAATTAGTCGCTAAAAATTTTTAGCAAAATAATTGTAATAAATTTCAAATAGAATCAGATTTTTTATGATTAATTTTACAGATATGTCATATTTTTATCATAATTATTTTGGCTAATGTTGAAATATTAGCCAATCAAAGAGCTCTTCAATTTTTACCCCTATACTGTAGTCCAATTCAGGTTTAGTGAATAGCAAAGGGCGAAGGTCGCTCACTTTACTTTTATGACAGAAAGCGTCGCACTGAGAGATGTCTTTTGCGTTGTTAAGAAGAGCGTTTACTTGGAAGAAAAGTATTGACGAACATCAGTTAGATGATTTTCTTAAGTGGTTTCACACAGAAGGAATTAATAACCCTGGGTATTTTTTGATTGTTCATATTTATCATTTATAGCTTTATTTCGAAATTATTTCGCAAATACGCCCTACGACTAATAGTAATCAAGAAACCCAATGATGCCATAATCTTTGACTCATCTTCGGGTAGAGTAGGTCGTTGTTTTATCTTCAAACGGTCGATAAATAGGATTCTCGGTGGATGCCAAGTTTTGGTACGGAAAATAGAACTTCAACACTCGCAGACATTGCTTTTGGTTCATTCTCCTTAACGCCTCCAGCTAATTTGAAATCGACTGTCAAGTTACACGATCTCAAGTAGGTTTTAAAGTGATCTGAATTATTATTCTTTTAGATCAAGCCGCCAGTTAATATTGACATGTGTTCATTATCCTACACCTAAACGGGTTCGTACATCAAACTCTGCATGTTATGTGCGAAAGCAGTCTGAAATAACATCCAGTGATTTCTGGTCAAATAGCGTAAGGAATCGTGTATGATAAAATTTTTTGCTAGTCTTTAAAGCATTGTTCCGACGCCGCAATAGCTGTCTGCGCCCTTGTGAATATTGATTGGGCTCATTCACTTGTTAAACCTGCTTTCAACTCAACCACCTTCGCTACCAAAGCAACTCTACCCGATGAGCTATCCCACAGATTCTACATGCTCTTTTTTGAGCACTTTCTTCAGATTAGTGTATCTTTTCAAACCCTTTCTGAAGTTATAAGGCGGGCACTTACGACAACAAATATCCTCCAGGGGCCCAATGATGGAATTAATGAGACTATTAATCGTGCATTTATGAACTTTCAACGTACTTTCAGAGATCTTTGCATTCCTAGACTCTCACGCCCTGTTTGGTCTAGTCTTTCCCTCGCCTACGTTGCCCAGTCAAACTCTCCCACTGGATTAAAACTTCTGCCTGATAACTCTTATCAAAAATATCCCCTCAATATCACTTCTTTCCCAGGGCAATATGAACAGTTATCTAATTCATTTGTTAAAGGATGTCTGTGCTCCCTCATTTCTAAAAGCATGTCCAAAGATCGTGCCCCGTAAGTTTCGATCGCTTTTATGCATTATGGCTTGTCATTCGACTATTTTTTCATTCATATATGAAACTTAAGCTTAATTTTAGAGCATGTATGAACTCCACGGGTTGTAGTTTAGGCTAGTGTAACACTAGTGATATCTTTGGAACCTCGTATCTAACACACCTCTTCTTGATTGTGTCTATCTTAAAGCCCACGTTATCTTTTATTTTTTTGGCCTACATATTTTCTAAACGTCTTAGTTGGTTATTTATTTTGTTTATTTGTCGTAGTCACAGGGTTGCTTACTTATCTATGCTAATTTCTCATTCAAAATTAATTTGATTGCGATTTGGATCGGATATCATATCTCTCTCTCTCCGTATTCAGTGAGCAGTTTAACTGCTAACGCCAGTTGAAAATTATTAAGTGAGATATTTGAATGTTAAGAAAATGCCCGATAACATTAGCTTCGAATACTGCTTCTGAAAGATGAATGTTTTCGTATACGTCTTTAATATCGTGCAATACAAAAGGGATCTCAGGTTCAAGTTCTTTGTAAAAAATGATTACTAATTTTTCCCAGCCCACCACTGCAAGTGTCCACAATATTCTACCTTTCCTCGTGTTAGCCTGATTGACTTAAACGAGGATTGTCTATTCGATTAATTGGATGTGACGAAGATCATGGGCCTTGACTTGCAATAAATCCCTATATCTTAATATTATGGCACTCATCACTAAACTTCGGGTGAAAAAATCAAATCCAAAGCAGATACTAGTGGGGACGTCTTTATCCATTCAGATATCCTGTAGATAATCGTCCTGTGCCAAGCCAATGCAAATGAGTTTGATGTCCAATTAGTGTATGAGGTAATAATTCTCGTATTGAAAACTTAGGTCAAAATAGTGGAAAATAATGGATTTATGTCTGAAATTAACGTAAAATTTATATCAATTGACAATCTTTATGATAGTTATCATTAGCCCTTTAGTTGACTTCGGGCTTCACAGAGTCGAAAGGGGAAACAAAAGAGTGATTCGCAGGTGTAAGGGTATAGGAAAAGTAAGGTGGGTACTGTGGGGTTGGTGAAATATGACATACAGTCGGGTCATGGTGGTTTGAAGTCAACTGTGGGTTTATAGTTTTTTTGTCGTATAAGTATACGTTGCCCAGGATGCATCACGTGGAGGTAAGTCTATCGCAAATTAACGTAAAATAGCGTTTAGCATTCCGGTCAACAGGTAGAAATAAAGCTTCTTGTAGATTCAAGGGTAACTGTATTCAGCTTTAGGTTTAATGGCAGTTACTGAGTAATTATATTTTGCTTGATAGATTCCTAGCACAGCTGGTAACTGGTATCTTGATGCAACACCGGGGATGGATATCAACGGTCTTACCAAAGTCTCAAAATTTCTCTGCGAATATGTGTTCTCACGAATCCGTAAGTCAATGACTGTCTTCTGCTAAATAATCACTCCACACAACCTAAGCTGCTTTCTTCTCGTTCTTTCACGCACAGTTGAGTGAAGGGAATATCTATGATTCGCCATATGGTAGTGGAGTGGATAACACACTGTTGTTTCAACAACTTGTACAGTCTGGTTGCGACATGAGTCGTCACACCTGTACCCAAAACTCCATCCTGAATGTATGTGGTACTGCCCTGGCAACCACAGTCATCTATGACAACGCAAGTGGAAGTGGTCTTCAGAGTCAACAACACAGAGACCGCCTATTAGCTCTTCTTTATCTCAGTTCCTACTTCCTTAGATCCCCAAATCTCCTCTTACAGTCTATTGAGGATGTTCCAGAGATGGCCATGTCTGACATGTATGAATTGGAACAGCGTAAACGGCAGGTGGGTTTGAGTTTATTGATCCCTCTCTACCTCCCTCTCTATACTTTTGAAGAGACTTTCCCCACCCAATTTATGTTTAATATTCTCCCTATTCCAAACCTATTTTAGGCGCTACAGTTTACAGTGCATATGCCAATTAATAGGTTTCTAGTAAGTTTGTGTGGCTCTGTGTGTCTCCATATTTTCTTCTTGCTGTTTTGATGTGTTGAATATCCCTCCTCCCTTCCACTTTTAACTCATAATACTTGACGTGTGATAGTTTTTTCTTGAAATTAATAAGGTGGTGGTCTCTACCTTGCTATGTCTGTCTTGTTTGTGAGAGTTTTCGTGCATTTTCTTATTTTACAATAGGCGTAGCACTAAGGTGGTCCATCCCCCACATCAAGTGAAAAATTGGTCAAGTTAACCAAAGGGAGTATGCAATACTTCCACTTGACTCAAAATGCGCTGAACAAACACTTTACTTTGATTGAATTGATTTTTTTAACATTGGCGTATAATTATTAAGGACACAACGCTTACCTCGCTCCTGATGAAGAATCTTGAAGTTTAAATCGGTCAATATACTTCCCTTTATGGGAATTGTCAAATTTATTCATCCTCAATAGTAATATTAATAGTAATAGTCTAAAAATGAATTTTTTTCAATGGGCTATGCTGCTATCGTGCTCTTTCAATAATCGAAAGGGTCAACCATTGGTTAATACTCTTATTGAGATGACTAAGTATTGCCTAAGCCCTGTTCAAAACTTCATTTCTTTCCGTGAATTTCTGAGATGTAACACTATTGCATATGGTTGATCATGTGAATATGAAAAAATTACCCTATTCCGGATTCGGTGGTTTTTGTAGTAGTGGTTAGGGGAGTGATTGGTTATTGTCAAGGTGGGTAAATAACACTTGTGCTGGGTATTCTCCTTGCAGTCACTCCAGCGGTGTCGTGGTAGTAGCGGTGGTCGGCGGAAGTCCAGTAGTCAATTAAGTGCCTCTCTTTTGCTTGGCCAACGTGGTGGGGTTGTGGATATCTATGATTCGGGCATTGCCTCACAGGAAGACCTCAGTGCAGCAATGCTGCATACTCTTCAACAATACTCTGCCAGTGCGGGTTCAAGTCCCAGCCATCCACCTGTGGGGGCATCATCCATCTGCCTTCCTGGGCGACTCACCAATGAGCAATGTCGACTGGCCGAAGTGGCCGCACAGGCTCTCGTCTCACGGGAATTTGCGGCCGCTGCTGCGGCTATTGCTAACAAACAGCCAACTCAACAAAGCCAGAACCCACAGCAACAATACAATAATCTCTCGTCTAATTCATCCTCCATGTACGTTCTAACACCTTTCAAGTTCACTCATATATGCACATCACTTTTCCTCCTTTTTATTGGATTAACATTTACTTATGGAAAAATAATATTAAACCGGAGGTTGATGTAGAGCAAATTTCATTTTACGAATATATAATTCAGATTGGATTAGTGCCTTTTTTGCTCCTCTCATGTCTTCATGCAATTTTTAGTATCTTTTTTCATATGACCTCTTAGCCTGGATCTCTATGCAAGAATTATTTCATTTGTATGTGGCAATATTTAGCCTTTTATTTTAATTTATACTATCCTTTATATTTTGATACGTTCTGAATAAGTTTTGCTGAGGTCGAAATGTTCCATTTAAAAGTGACTATTTAATTGAGATCCGTTGCTTTTGGGCTGTTGTTTGAAGGAATGCAGCGGTAGGGAGATAGTAGTTTGGCTTCGCCAGTAATAATTTCATCAACCAAGTGTCCAACCTAGCATCGCTTAACTTCAAGTTGTCTCTTGATGCTTTTGTTTATCATCAATGCATTAACATATTTAATACATCATTGTTCTTCTCCCCCCTCCCTGTTTTCTTTTCATTTCTTACAAAATTTTGTCTATTTTGCATTTCTTCAATTTATCTGGCATCGAGTTGATTTTGGGTTTGTGGCAATATAAGTACTAGGAACCCCTCAGTTAACCTAAACTTCTTGTGAGTTCCCTATACCTTCGTCCTTTTCCATAATGAATTGTGAAATTTCTCCTAGTTTTCATCCTACCCAACTCAAGTAGCTTTCATTCCTTCTTTGGGTTAGAAGTAAGAGTTTTGCACCCGGCGTCTTCATGTGATCCCTCATTGCCTGATATAAGTGCCTTGGTGAGGAAGATGAAAATTGTGCAATAAGTGGTGTCTGGCTTGATGCCCTTTCGCCTCCTTCTCATACTTTCTGAATTGCTTTTGCTTTATTGGTATGCACTGATATAAACTATTAACTTAAGGACGAGTGATCTATCTTAGTAGTCCCTTAAATATTGTTTCTTGAATTCAAGTACTGAAATTCATCTTAATTTCCCCTTTGTTTTGTTTAAACGATCAAAAATAGTTTATACCATTGTATTAATTTAGAAAATTTTTGAAGGTTTGTAGAGATTGATTTACACTAAATTGCTGATCGTATTCATTTTTCCGAAGCCTGTTTACGGAGGCATTGGTGCAGGTATACGCGTATATGGAGGGTGTCCCGGAGTTATTCCTATGAGAAACCCAAATCCCACCTCCTGTTTTGTCAAAAGTAATTAACCACGACGGTTGATAATCGGATGTGTGCAGATAAACATCTTTCTCACGGCTCCTGACTTTCTAGACGTGCGTGCTTGCCATTGCATTACCAGCGAACTAATGGTATTCTTATTAATCCCCGAGTCCATTTTTTAAACCATTTTCTAGTTTTCATCTTGTGTAAAATTGTTGGATTATGAAACCCTGGCGAAGAACCTGAATTCTGGAAATCCCTTTATTGGCTAGTTTTAATTAGTACCGTTGATCAGTCTATGCACCATTGGACTTCTAATAATTGACCCCCGATTTGCCGCTTGGGCGCATTGACACTTCATTTCTAGATGTTTAATTACTAGTTTTTATCATCCCCTCTACTTATCATTTACTAAGAAAGGTTGATAAAGACCAGAACTTTAGATTATGGTCGAGGAGACACACAGTTTTTACTGTTTTCTCTGCATTAGAATGTCACAACTTCTAAAATATACGTGTGTTCAAGACTCTTGTCTGTTGTTTAGGAAGACATGGTGAGGTAAACTCGACCACGCAAAGTTGTCACCAAATACTCCGCCCATTTCACTTGATACAGGGTGACTACATAGTGTAAGTCGCGTGCGCTCTAGAAGGTAGTAGTAGCCGTCTTTTCAAGGAAGCACACACATACGCACATATCAGTCATATGCTCTTCTCGCTATTTAATTACGTGCAGTATCTCCCCGTGAGATGGCGAGAACTAGAGGTGTTTTTTTCCCCATCCCGTTGCGTCTCGGCCGTGTCCCACTCTTTGTGTCTTATTGACGATTCCTCTCCCTCCTATCACGTGTTTTTATCTTTGTCTGGTTTTCTGCTAATTTCTGAGAATTTGTTCACTACTCGCTTATGCGTGTAAGCTTTGGAGGGTTTAGTTTGTATTTAAAAGATCACTCATCTTTCGCATGGGTCACCCACGTCTTTAAGAGCGGTGTCGTCATGCCTTCTCACGCCTCCTCTCTACACTCTCTTCTTGAAGAACTGTCACTCGATTTGTAAATAGAGAACAGTGTCTATTATTAGAATGTGGCATGAATTTAATGCATGCAGTGAGTGTAAGCTGAATTGCCTAATGAAGTGAATTCGAGTAAGCACCACCATTTATTCACAATCAGGGGTCACAGAATTTTGATCACCGACGCACTTTCAGTATGATTAACTATACCGGTTGCATCTGAAGGGGTGGGGGGTTGGGTTATAATTACCCCTCTTTCTCTGTCCAGGAGGAGCACTATGCAACGTTTGCTTTCAATAGTATCTAGTATCTACGGCAATTTTTTTTGTTTTACACTTGGACCCCCTTAATGTCTTATGAAAAAGGAGCTGTCTGAATGAGACATAATCTACAACAGCACTATGGAATCAGTAAACATTCGGTAGGTATGTAGAATCACTAGTTGTTTTGACGAACGCCCATGTACTTTAATACAGGTGCCTTAACAATTGATAAAACAGAGTGAAGTTAGTAAAACAAAGTGAAGTGTTAAGACAAATATAGAACTAATGGCGATACACTGTACCATACCTTCGGGTTGTAAAGAGCTAGTTCCGAATCTCATTGACACATTTCCAGTGAACGACATAGCCGACCGTACTAAGGAAGCCTGCTGGAAAAGGCAACTGTTCCATTTCTCTGGTTAAGGTAACTGCTTAAAAAATGCTTCTCAGGTGTGATTAGGTATTATTTTTTAATGATTTACAGCCTTATTTTTTATTGTTTGTAGAGCTCTCTTAAATGTTCCTAACTTATTGTGGTGGAAAGTGTTGCCAACACTTGATTTTAATGGAGAGAACGTGTCCTAGAGCTTCTTTTATAAAATGCTTACATCTTCCATCTCATGTTAACCAGAATTATCTGGCGCAGCTGCTCCGTTGCGTGTCACTGGATGTTCATCACTAAGTATCCTCTTTTGATCTGAAAGTAGGACTAAATTCTATTCAACCATGATGTAGAGTAACAATTTATTGGTTATGTAGAGTTATGAAATGCAGGCGAAACCATGCTGACGTGTCAATGACAAGTCTTTTAACGGGGGCAAAGAATTAGGTTTTGCAAAAATTGTTGCAAATAGGTGTTGACAATGCAATTCACTCCAAACAATACTTTATATATGAAATTCGTATCGAATTATGGAGCACTGGAATGTGGTGGTAATTGTGCTAGTGTGTTACAAAATACATTTTGCTTCATGCGTTCTCATTATACTCAGGTTAAATCAATTTTATGCCCATGTGATGGGAAGTGTGTTGCAAAAGTTAAGGCTTTATCTGTCTATCTAATTTATCTTTATCGCTTGAGTGATTAACAAAGGCTAGAAGATCCCAAATTTGTTTCTCTTCCAACATTTGGTTCTATTTTAACACCATTAATTTATCCGTCTTTCTTATTCATAAGTGAGAACAAGAAGAATAAGCAAGATGGTCCTTTGCTATCAGTTTTTCAAGGTGTTCTCTGCTTCATTGCTCGCGTTACTCTAAAATACATGTCGGTCATTTTTAATGCTCCATAATATCCAAGCGTCTGGAAATCCTTAGAAGGATTTGTGGCCTCTGATTATCATCTTATATCAGAATCTACATAACAAGCTATAGGAGTGTGTCCAAGTTTATGTATCAGAAGTCTATTTATGGTGATTAGATTGATTAAATACATCTGAAAAATTGATATGGGCTATCACAACAATCAATGTTTATCCACTAACCAAAGATTTTTATTTATTTGCAAGGAAATAGAAAGGAGACGACGTAATGTTAGCGGATGCTGGTAATGCCCTTGCAGGTTGCTATTGCTCTTCTCCAAACCTCAGCGTCTATTCTTAATTATATTCCTTTAGCTTTGAATTATAAATTTCTCTTCTGGTGCTCTTAGGTTCTCTGAGTCCGCCTCAACCACTTCCAAGCACTATCGTGAACACACATGGACAACGGGAATGGCGGGGAGGAATCGTAAGGTAATCAACAGTCTCCTCAATCCCTCCGCATCTTCTTCTGTCAGTGGTGGTGGCGGTGAAATGGTACCACCCTCTTCTGGAAGCAATTCTCTCTACTCCCCTCTCACCCCTAGTCTTTCAACTGGTGTTCCTTGCTTCAGTGCCTCCCTATCCTCGCCCTCTAGTGACCCCAATGATCTTACTGAAATCCCTCTTCTTATTGAGTAAGTTTTTTCATAGATTGTATAGCGTCCTATATTTCCATCGAAAACACGGACTTTCAGACCATTCATTTATATATTGTACTGGCACGTAAAGTAGCGAAATTTCAGTGATTGTTAGAGTTGAATTTCAATGCAATCGTTATCGCTCGGTTTGTAAGTCAAATTGATAGTTGATTTACTGATTCATCTAAATACTGGCGTCAACTTATTGTCTCCCTAGTTTTTATATCCTGGTATATATTTGGGAAATATAAATGTTTCAGGTTGCATGTAGTATTGACCAAACATTTGCTATAACAGACTCATGTTAGTCCAAGCTTTTTACTTATATCTTGTTTCTCAAGTTGGATGACCTCTCACTGAAGCAATTCCTGCAGTAGCATGTTCTGGAAATCCCATTTTCTTTTCCATTTTCGTTTAGGCGGACATATCTCGATCGCTGGGACAATTGTTGGTGCCTTGGGGAGGGCATCGGTGGAGCCGTGCTGGAAAATCATTATTGCAGTAATAGGAAAACTTCTTCAGATCCTACCAATACCAAAGTTGATCTTCCTTCTCCAGTGCCTGTTCGCTACGGCTCCTCCGTTGAACGCTACTCCTCCTTCGACAAAGATGAAAGTGTGGAAGTTGGTACAGCCTGTAACACCGACATGGAGTCTTTAGACGATGGAACACCGAGTAGTCTTGGAGGTGGAACTGTTAACGACTGCTCAGAGCTTACTCTTCATCCTCCTATTGGTGCCTCGGTATTTGAGCACTATACAAGTGGACTTGCTCTCCAGGCGATTACAGAATCGCCCGCATCATTCCGACCAAGACTTGTTGATGATCTCACGTCGTGGTTGCGATTTGCTCCTGCACTGCATCGGCGTGGAATCAGGCCTCCTCCTTCTCTTAGGGCGAGTTCGAGAATGAGGGCTTCGGTGCATACCGTTCAACAACAGAATCCGAGGAACTCGTATCGATGTTCGGCTCTCTTGGTAAATGCAGATACAGGATCTGTTGAAGTAAGTTATTTAAAGAGTTCAATAATTATAAGCAATTTAAGTAAGATGGCGATATCACATTTATTATGAATTATTAGCAGCTTATTATATTTTGCTGATGATTTGCATGTTGACCACACTTGCTCAGACCCAGATGGCGGTGAAGGCGTGTAGTATAAACAGAGCTTTAATTCCACTCATTAAAGAAGTTTTCTTTTATATGTGCTTTGAATATAAGGGTTAGCCTGCTCTTCCGGCAGCAATTTTGAAGATTGGTGTCGCACAATTATAACACCCCAACATGGATTTGGAAATTTTCGGACTCTACTTATGACTTTAGAAGTATTCATCTCCATTTCCTCCACTTAAATAAAGGACCACAAGGCATTGATGTTCTTTTTTGTGTAAAACTCTGCCATCTCTCCCTTTATAAAATAATTTTTCTGTAACGGTTTTTCGCTGCATTTCTCGTCTTGATTGCAAACTGGGACGTTTTAGACTCCTAGTAAATCGCTACATCGCATTTGCACTGGATGTAATCCATTCGTGTAATTCGACATTACAGGCAGCGTGTTGAGTGTTCACTTTAAGTCTACTCTGGCGTAAAAAAAGCATAACAGTCAGTTGCATTTACTGTAATGAACTCACTCTAAGAAGCATTTATCGTTGACTTAGCGACTAATGGGTACTCCTGTCATGCTATAATCCACTGGGTTGCCGAGTATTTGATTACAATTTCGTTTTCTCCAGTTAGAGCAATTGCTCTAGAATTTGGTTATTTAAATTTTCAGGATAATGCTCAGTTGTGCTTTCGCAATTGCCTATATTTTTCATCACAAAAGCTATTTTTTACAACTTGCATATAATTAAATTATTTTCAATTTAAGCACTTTTCTCCTGTCTATAACGTGTTGTCAAACACGTGACATTGTAAATTGAGTCATTACTGATCACTTAGCGAATCGAACTATTCCATTGTCATTCGAGCCCCTTTTTGTTATGCCTTCAGAGTTAGAAAGCAATGTTTATTCCAGATATTAGAATTCGGTGCCCATATATCTCCAGAGTCAGCCTCAATCTTTTACGCACTTTTAGCTTCTAACGTTGCGAAACAAAGAAGGTCTAAGTGCGCAACGACAAGCTCGAAGTGTCAATCGAAGGTCCAGCAATTCCGTATCCTCTTCCAACCCCTCCACGCTGACGGCTTCCTCTTCACTGAATTTTGTCATTTCTCCCACGTCCTGTTCATCCGCTGCTGGTATTAGACCTCTTTCTGCTGCTGCATCTAGCTCTACTGTGGTTGCTACGGACTCCTCAACTGACGATGAGTACTCTGAAGCTCCCAGCACTGAAAATAGAACTCTTGTGGCTGCTCCACTTGTTGTCAAACTCCTGGAGTCGGTGAAGTTGATGTATGACAAATCCGGGGGCTGCTCCTCACTCGCACTTCAGCATCTTGAATCTGGGTTGCGGAATATTTGTGGTCTGGGGTGTATGCTTGCTGACCTCTTGATTCCATCGATTACATCAATGGAGAGTAATGTAGTGGATGCAGTGGATGTGTTTAAAAAAGATCCGGAACTTATTGCGCGTGTCATTGGGTGAGTGCGGTTTAAAAGTATGCCTTTTGTGAGGGGGTGGGGGGGGGAGAGAATGTATCATCTGGTCATTCCGGTATTAATCACAATGATGGATTTAGTATGGTGCATTGCAGCGAATGGGTATTATTGATGGGCCAACTGAAAGCAAATTATTGCCTTTTTTGGTGGGTAGGTTTTTTATAGACATTGATGCAATTCTATGGCAAATTTTGATCGTGCTTCGTATTGGGGAATGCGTATCACCTATTTCATTTTTTCATTCAATTAATATGAAGCTCCTATTACTTCTCAAGTATCAGTGTTGGGTGTGTATTTTCCAACATAGTGATCATTCTCTGCACGACGTTTTAGTCAGAAGTCGCAGAATTGGGTCACCTTCATTAATGTGGAGATAGCGACTGAATATGAATTTCATTATCTCAAACATATTGGATTTGATCTAATAGGCTCTAGCTAGTAACTTAGCGCTGCACATTGAGAAAATTTGAGATCAGATTTATGTTCTTCGTCAGTCCTTCGATATGATGGCTTCGATGAGACACCAAGCACCTGTTGTTAAATACATTGAAAATTTCTCAAACCCATTATAAGAATGGTTCACAATAAGTTATTTGGATAGTAAGAATGTATTGTAGAGCTACATGTATGATAATTTCGCATTCAACCACTGTTTTCATTAGCCAGAGTAGACTAATTTATGGATGTGCACATCCATAAAGCTTCAATTTCGTCCACTTGAATATTTGCGATAGGATTTATAGGGGATCGTTTGTCAGAACGTGGGTCGTGGAATAGAGATAACTAGGCCAAGTGCACCTGATCCTGCAGAGTTTATGTAAACTTAACTCGTGGTGTTGAACTCGACTTGTTTTGGTGAATCCACAACCACTATGATGACATTGGTGAAGTCACCTGGTATCCGAATTTCTTACTCCCCCGGATTGATAATCAGGCTGTATTTTACTGTGCTTTTAATCGTTTTTCCCATAACTTAGATGCGTAAGCATACTTTCATCAATTCTCTAGAAAATTTCTCCATTTTCTCATTCCTTTGCATTATAGAAGTAGTTTACCCATATTGATTGATTAGAGAACATCCTGATTCAAATTGCGAGATAGTGAAAAGTAAGTTGGTTTCTCAATCTCAACCTGATTACTTCACGCCAAGCTCGTAGACATGAAATCACTTAAACTTGGCGGGGCTATCTAGCACATTCACTCAATGTGATTATCGCTATTAGTTAAAAGGCCTTTTAAATCGCCTTCTTGAGACATCGGACTTGAATTTTTCCCTGATATGCAATTCTTGAAGTCAGTGCTATTGTCTTTGGAATATTAAAATTTATTTCGCACATTGCAAGATCAAAAAAGTTGTATTTACCTGTGAATTTTGTAAGAGCTATTTATTTATATCAAATGGCAGGCGTTTTGATAGTTATCATTAGCCCTTTAGTTGACTTCAGGCTTCACGGTGGGGAAGGAACATCAAAGTGAAAAAAGTGGAGAGGGGGGGGGGAGAGTTGACGAGTGCTTCAAAGATGTAAAAGAGATAGACACAAAAGTAGAAGAAAAAGTTGAGGCGAGTATTGTGGAAGCGGTGAAATATGACATACAATGGGGGTCATGGCAGTTTGGAGTCAGAAGTCAATTGCCAGTTAATAAACTTTTTGTCGTATGAGTATACGTTGCCTAGGCTGCACCATCTGGAGGTAAGTCTATCGCACACCCCTTGTAAGAGATATTGTTCTTCACTGGTAAGCATGAATTTCTACTCAATGAGTGAGTTTATTAATTGAACATGTAAACCACCTGTAATGAGTCATACGCATAACTGGAATTCACATTAGTCATTTATTAATTCAATGAAGGGCGTTAAAGTAAGGTTAGGTTTTGAGGTTGCCTCTAGGATGCATGCAAATCATCTGATCTATTTAAGGTGAAATGAGAGTGAGTGAGTCTTAATTTTGAAATAAAGCTTTGTGACAGTTTATTAGAGTGCAGGCTGGGCTCTAATTGTGATCTCTTCAGTACTTTCGTATGCCAGTCTCATATTTCGGGTAGGACAATATGCTTTAGTATCTCGCTGGTGGAGAAGCTACAACCTAACTCCAAGATAATATACCCCATTGTTTTGATTTATCTGCTTTGCGGATTAGATCACTATTTATTTCAGTTTCCTACTTATCCTATGTATTCATAAGTTTTTTGAAACCATTTTACTTATTTTCATGCTACTTTATTCACCCACTTTGGTTTATTTGAACAAAATTTAGACATTTGCATAGTTTTCTATCGCCGATTACTTGTTTGGTTTCAATGAATACAAGCAATTAATGATCGATAATGGCACGCAACTTGTTTGTCAATGCCGCTTACCTTGATTTTTCTATTAACTTTCTAACCACTGTGATGAGTCGCTCGTGCTTTCGTGCTAATCATACGCACATGGGGCTGTTAATTTGAATGAATCATTTTATTACTTACTACAAAAAGCTGGAGGGGGGAGGAGGGAGGTAATGTATTAGGTTTCCATGAGGTCAGAGCTAAGGTCATGGTCATTCTGGAACATGATCGTTGAGAACTTACTAATCTTGATCTGATTACCTTATGATGCTGTACCATTTTCCTCAATCTACGTTGGAGAAATAAAGATTCTATCTCTTTGGTGGAATGAAGTTTCGTAGTTTTGTTAATTTAAAATCGCCATTTTCCATATATGCTGTTTTTTGTAATGTGTATGTCTTGATTAGCTTGTATTATCTCAATACATATTTTAAAAAATCCGTTCGAATGTCAACAAATTTGAGAAGAAAATTGAACACGACATTCTTTCAGACTGCTTTTGACTTTCAGCTATTAAGGCACCCGTAGCCTCTTGTTTATTTATTGACTAATGTGTTCATTGCTTTCAAACGTTCAAGTCACTATCTTCAGAGTTAGTTAGTTAGACCACTTCGCTTCCTGATGCACTGCAGTGAAAGGTTGTAGCAGCTAGTTAGGATGTTGGTAGAAAGCAGTGTAGTAGCTTTAAGGACTTAAGAGGTAAGTGCTAAGGTCATGGAGACTTCTGGCGCACCTAACGAGGACATAAGCAATCATGTGATCTAGCAAGCTTGTGGCAGATACGAAGTCAGCCCCCATTACAGCAGCTATAATCCTTCAATCAATAACCGTTTCAGGTACGTGATAATGGAATTTGGGAGCCTGCCATTTAAGTCCAATTCTAAGCTATTGTAATAAATTCTCAAAATTATTTTAACAATATTTAAGGTTTTATTTGCGTACTAGTGTTCCAAAAAAACAAGAATACTTTTGAAATTTGGTCGAACAAAAAATTGGCCTTTCATATTTGAGTTTGTCATGAGCTCTCTCTATTTTGGAGTTGTTCCCATTTTAACAATGCAATAATTTTAACTATGCTGTTTGTCGGAATGACGAAAAAATGTCGATTCTCAAAAATCGGTTTGAAATTTTCATGTCTTTCCAATCAGAGATATCTCATTATCATTACTAATCATACACTTTCGGTGTGTGTGTGTATCGGTTACAAATGCTTTTACATATATGAGAAAAATTGGATCGAAATAGTTCAATGAAGTATCATGACACTTCGTAGGCTTAAATACCATTAAAGTCACCGGGTGAAAAACACATCTTCCATCGTTTAAGGCAATGGGTTTTATCATGTGCTTGGGAATCATGGTTAGCAATTCATTTTGCTCTTTTGATGTCCTGTAATATTGTAATAGCCGACTGAAAGGTATGTATTGTTGCCATAATATATTAATTTTTCGTAATTTTAGATGTCAATTAACGGATCTTCCTCTATTGCTTTCGATTGCTGGCTCAGTATCCTGTAGGGTTGCGTCAGTGATTGAACGAAATGACCTAGACCAAATGTGGTAGCGGTTTTGATTTCCCACATACTCAAACTTCGTCAAAATAAATACTTAGCATCATTGTCCTCATTCGTTGCCTTACTTCTTCAAGTATATGAACTTCAAAACTCTTCTCTATTTCCATGCCCTTGTGTAATTCTCTTTGCACATAACCACAAAATGTACAAATTCGCATCTAATCTTCCCCGTCTCTCCTTCGCCCTTTATTAATAGTATGATACTTTGACTTCGGGGTTCAATGAAATGTGTAAACGGTTAGTAATTTGACTTATTTCATCTGAGCTTTGGGAAATGGTGTACGTTGCATAGTTATCCGCTTATTCGGTTTGAACTTGTGAGACCCCATTAGGGACATTTAGACGATCCACTAATTTAGAGAGGTAATTACGTAGAACGAGAAAATATAGTTAGCAAGCTGCCACGTGATTTGTCATGATGTAGGCTCACGTGAAGTTGGAAGAAACGAGGTCATAACATGTACTAAGCCTAAGGCTATAAGGATGAGAGAATAAATTCGATTTTCAATACCACGACTGTACATATGAATGAGTAATGAAGTAATGAGCTGAAATTTTGTGCAAAATGTATTTTTCAAAACGAGCAAAATTTTAGAATGAGCATGCAGTGTACAAGACGCGTAGGTGATGAAGCTTTGCGATAACTAATGTCACCCCAATAGTAATTTAAATACGATAAGTAGAGTATTTACACCTATGAGAGGAACTAAAAGAAAGTGGTAATCTGGACAAATCGAAACCTTACTTCGCATAACAGTTCGAACTGAAATAATGAATGTAAGCAAGCGGGATTTCATTGAGCTGTCGGTGCCAAATTGATATGTATCAGATCCCCAACCATCTAAAAACAAGGGCGTTAGAAATAGATAGACATACATTTGGCAAGGAATCTCTGTTCATGAAGAATGCAAATGGCGTTCAGAATAAGAACACTAGCTTCCAGTAGAGCATATAATCCAAAGGCCATCTAAAAAGAAAAAATAACACCGTGATAAATAAACTAGTTCAAAATAAAAGGCATGGAAAGGCACACTAACTTCATTTAATAGATAGATGCATGGAGAAAATATACCTAGAAAAATACACTGGGGACTACGTGACACAGTGACTACGCAGACCTATAGTGTCACAAGGTCACAGGGCTATGTATGAGATATTGAAAAATGCAATCAGTTTTTCGATTAAATAACTTTGGTGAAATTCCAGTAATATTTAAATGAAATCTTATTATATACATCCTTTTTCTAAGTCCTATACATATTTTTACGTAAATTTATCGCAAAAATTCAATATTAAAATAATATGATGCGTATTTACGCAAAATATAGGAAGTGTTTTCTGTACTTTATCTGTCACGGTCGAGGCTTTGCCTTTAACAAATTTCAAGTCAGTTATTACGCAGGCTATTGAGTTCAACCTTTGCTTTGAATGCGAAATTATTTCAATTTATTGTATTTTTTATACATCATGTTTTGATATGTATCATTATTTTACTTAAAACAATGAATTACTCTTCTCCAAATTTTAAGTCCTCTGATCACTGTTCCATATGAACCAATTTATATAATTCAATAAGTAATTTTAAATTGACATATGCTTTTAAAGGTCAGTATTAGTACTCGTTTTTTGATTTCATATCGACTTTGACAAATTTCAGTCAATATGCTTATCAAAGTCAAGACTTTGGTTGGTAAGGAGATCGAAATCGACATTGACCAGACGGACAAAATCGAGAGAATTAAAGAACGTATTGAAGAAAAAGAAGGAATCCCTCCTCCCCAACAGCGCCTTATTTTCTCCGGTAAACAAATGAATGATGAAAAAACTGTTCAAGATTACAAAATTCAGGGTGGATCCGTACTTCATTTGGTTCTGGCTTTAAGAGGTGGTGAAATGTTTTAATTTGTGATAAATACACAAAGTGTTACCAATATATACTATCTTTTGTATATTTGCCTTTTATTTAAGTGTCATGTCATTTATCTTTAGCATCTTCTTTCCGTACTTAACGTAATATTTACGGTTTTGAAATGCTTACAGTATTGCCTATCTGCTTTTTTCTCGCAATTTTACTTTCATTTCGCATCCTCCTCGTCATGACATAACTTTTTGCATATAGTTCAATTGTGTTTTGTGATGGAAAACCGTTCTCTATCATGTCATGTCTCACAATGGATATTAAAAAAACCTATCAGATGAATATTTGTTATGATTTATTGATGCGTGCTCATATGTCCAAGAATGTTAATGTTCTACCTGATCCCATTCTTTTTGAATATAATTTTGGAAAGTTTGCATTCTTGTGATCAGAATTTCCGTTAAATTCCTTCCATTACCGATTTGTACGTACTAGTTTTAAAGGTGATTTTCCTCAACAACGCTGTATTTCATTATTTAAAGCAAACTGTGCATTTTTTATTCCATCACGCGGTCTGAGAGAGCGATCTAGCAATAGTAATATTTTTAAAATAATTTTTTTTAACGCATGGGGTTATAATTGGTTGTGTTCCATAGTGGATGCTTTTGGATTACTATGCTCTGACGCATCTTTGCACTTTTTAAAGTATGAACTTCCCATGTGGGACACTCAAACCTGTCACACATTATTGTCTAGGTTCGTTTCCATAGACTATCCCAGATCGACTTCAATTCCCTGATCAATGACCTTGATAAATTCCTGTCGCTCTAACTGAAGCACAATTGGATTACTGAAAATTGCCGTAGGAGTACTTTAACTTACGGAATAGCAGAGGAAGGTAGCCACATATTCAGGTCGCTTATATGTGGTTACCAGTCGGCTGATATGGGCCGGTTTTAATAACTGGTATTTGTAGTATGATGTAGTTTTCGTTTGCATTGTTCTTTTCCATTATGACATAGGTCTTGATAAAGTCACAGTAGCCAGAAATTTATAAATTAACTACCGATTTTGTTCTGCAATGCATTGCGCAGTCACTGCTTTAATTGATCTGGAAATTCAATGGTCTCTAATTAGTGAACTAGTCTTGAAACACATCCATATAAATTTACTATTGATGTGGCGTGTCCAAGTTGGGCACAAGAATCTTTTTATATCTTGTAGAAAATCATTACTATTGAAGACAAACAAGGTGTATACTGACAGAAGTTGACTTTTAGGAAAAACAATTTATGAAGGTTATTGTAGCATCTTGAGTCGTCACTTTTGACGGATTCAGAAACTATGCGCATTATCTCAAATAGTGTTAATTAAACACCTGTTGTTAATTATTAGAACTTGTAGAATGATAAGAAATAGAATAAGTTCATGGTACTACCTGAATGCTCGCGGGCAGGAAAGTGGGAGTCAACAACGCGTAAGAGGAAGGCCTTCCGAATGTGAAGGGGTATACGAGCAAAGTCATTGCATATACCAACAATGAATCTTAGTAAGCAGCATAACAGGTGGAATGAAATAGAAGCATGTGTATTAAGTACGTGATGTGAGGAATGAAATTCCAAGAATAGTTCCTTTATGTTTTTTTAAGTAGTAGTGAATAATAGAGTTAATAGGAATAGACGGGTTAGCGAATTAGATTTCTACAATTTGATTAATTATGGAATATATATATTTAGCCATTTGCGAATGAACGAAAGATGGTTTGCATAAATGCTTCTCCCCCCCAATCGCAATCCACCCATATCATGAGTAATTTGTCCTGAAGATGATCCAACTACCCAATAACCTATTTTGTCTCAACTGGAGGAATATTTTTCCTCCAACTTTATACTATTTGCTTTAAATGCCTACTATATAGAACTAGAATTTAAGGGAAGAAATGCACGAAAACGCCGGATTCATGGACAAGCTTTCACCATTTGGTAGCTTGTCAATATAAAGGCACGGATGATGGACTCTTTGAACATGTCATAAGCACTTTAGGACTTCACACAGGTACGTTTAATGCATTCGCATAGCCGACTCACTGATTTAACTAAATCTATTACAGTTCACTACGCAGATGTTTGGACTATACTTCCCACAAAACAAACTGCGCGTTCAATGTTGATTGAATGCTTTCTTTACGAATGAATGAATGTTCAATTGAAAAACTGGTCATTTTGTTACCCTCAGCCTTCATCTGAATTTAAATGCACTGCTTTCATTTTTTACTAATTACTGTGCCTAATGCATTGTAACCATCTTAGTTGAAGTAAAATATGTTTATTTTTATCATAGAAGTTTATATCTCGATAGGTGTAATTCAATTATCTCAAGATTTATGTACCCATAAATATCATCCACCTTAGGATCCCGTTCCACTTCAAAATATTCTGGACAGGTTGTGAAAAATTTTTTTTAGAATTTTTTAAGGCAATGAATAAATAACTGTCTAACGTTTAAGAATAGTGTTTACTAGCTTTGTTTCAGTAGTAGAATGTAAGTAATCTATAAATGTGTAATATCCTTAATTAAATATTTCGATGTGGGATGCGCGATGGACTTACCCCATGTGGTGCACCTGCGCAACGTATACTCATACTGCAAAAAAAGTCTATTATTCGGCAGTTGACTTCTGACTTCGAACTACCATGACCCACCGTATGTCATATTCAACCACTTCCACAGTACTCGTCTTACCTTTTCCCTCCCTTTGTGTCTGTGTCTCTTTTACGTCTATGAGTCACTTCTCTGCTCCCCTTCTCGAAATTTTCTCACTTCTATGCTTCTCCCCTCAGTGAAGCCCGAAGTTAGATAATGGGCTAATGATAACTATCATAAAACCTGCCATTTGATATAGATAAATATTTCGATGTTGGTTTATCAACAATTTGATATTATCTCTCATTGTATAGGGCTA